TGTGCTTTGGGGGAGCTGATCCAGTCTTGGAAGGCTATACAGATTCAGATATGGCCGGAGATCCTGATGGAAGAAAATCAACCTCAGGATATGTTTATACTTTTGCAGGGGGAGCTGTGTCATGGCAGTCAAGATTGCAGAAGTGTGTTGCACTATCCACAACTGAAGCAGAGTATATTGCTGTAGCGGAAGCTGGAAAAGAAATGTTGTGGCTAAAACGGTTTTTCCAATAACTAGGGATAAATCAAACAGAGTATAAGATACATTGTGATAGTCAAAGTGCAATTGATTTAAGCAAAAACTCAATGTATCATTCTCGGACAAAGCACATCGACATTCGCTATCACTGGATACGCGAGGTGATGAATCAACAACTGTTGAAACTAGTGAAGATCCATACGAAGGAGAATCCAGCAGACATGTTAACAAAGGTGGTCACTCAAGAAAAGTTAGAGCTGTGCAGAGACATAGTTGGAATAACTTTCAAATAGTAGCTGCGTTGGAATGCAGCTGAAGGGGGAGAATTGATAAGTTCAGCTGCTGCCAACTACCAATTCTAGAAGCCCACCATTGTTGAAGCCACCAACCCATTCTAGAAGCCACCATTGTTGAAGCCTCCATTGTTGAATGAAGAATTCAACCACCAACCACCTTCTTTAAGGCTATAAATAGAGCATTATGTTTTACACAGAAATATCAATCCAGAGAGATTGAAATACAATCCAGGAAGAGATTGTGAGAACAAAAAGAGAGTTTGGTGAGGTTTTTTTTGTAGAGAGAAATTCTTGGTGTAAATTCTCTGTAATTCTATTCTTGTGAAATAAAGTTGTTTTTCCTCCCAAATAATCTTCATATTGATCCGAGAATCACAACATCTTTGACCCAGCGAATCGATTAATATAGTGCATCAGAAAAATAAGGAAAGAGAAGAAGAGAAAAAAATATAAAGGGTGTAACTAAATCCCTTAATTGAAGGTACTAATAATGAATTAGGAGTTTTTTAAGGTGGAATGTATATATTTTGTAAACAAAACTTGTGTAGGTCGGGTAATTTACTAAACATGGACATTTAGGGTAATAAAGTTTTCATAGTGTATAGGAATGAAAAAATCCCTTTTTAGTTTAAATCGAGGTCCAAGGGTAACAACTACTCTCTTGTCCATTTATATTAATTTTTTGGCTTTTTTTTTTCAATATAATATTTGATTTTTTAGTTATCAAGAAGGAATTAACTCTTTTTTTTTCAAAATTGCTCTTGGAGTGAAGAACCTAGAATTATATATTTTTAATGAACAAATTAAGGTTAGTATAGTCAACTTCATTGCTAATTAATACTAAAAGGTGAATTCCTTAATAGTTGTGAAAACAATAAAAAAAATAATTAAATATTAAATAGCCGAGTTCATGAGGTAATTAATACTACAAATTAATATTTAGGTACAATTAATAATTGATGTCAAGTTTAGGTTTTTTTTAGATATCCGACCTTTATTTTAGTTTGTTTTTATATTTTATTTTTTTCTTATCAGTTACACATTAGTTGGGATAGTGGATGGGTTAGCCTTTCAGCAAGAAACTCCCAACTTCCTGAAATCAGACAAATACGGCTCTTCCTATTCCTGTTTCATATGTACTCGATGCCACCTCGGACGATCAAAATCAATTCTCAAGATTCATTATCAACAGGTCCAACCCTATACCCACAATTTTAATTCACTCTTTCGATCTATTCTCTGCTCTAAACCCCAAAAAGACAATAATTTTTAGTTCATATTTGGTGTTTGAGAGAGTTGGTTCGAATCAAGAATCTTGGTTATGGTGTTGAATCTTGAATAGTTACATTAAAAAAATACACTTTTTTCATTTATAGAATAAAAAGTTTCTGAATAAACAACCCATCAATGGCGGGAATAGCAATAGTATTGGATCTACTGAGGAAAAATCCAAGCTTTACTGGTCAAACCCTTAATTCTTATGGCGCTTTCTCAGCCAAAGTTGCTGCCTCAGCTGCTGCTGCTTCTTCTGTTGCTGCCACTTACCCTTTTGCTGCTAGGGCTTTTTTTGGGTATGTCTATATACTCTTCACTCTTTACTACTATATATTCTATGTTTGTTTTTAATAGTAGGGGCTTTATAGGAGTGACATTATCTTAGATTTTATAATGTACTTAGTCGTTTAGTTGTTTTCGGATAGTGATTTAATGAGATAAAACCAAATTCTTATGTGTTTGACGTGTTAAGTTGTAATTTTTTGAAGTCAGAGTGGTAATGTGGAGTTAATTGGTTAATGTGCTCCTTTTTCCAGTGGTTGAATACCTGATGGTTAATTATGCTAGTTATGATGACTTTTGGTAATTGCATTCCTTGATCGTATGACTCTAATATTCATAGTTCAATTAGTGGAGGCAACCTTGTTTTGTAGAACTCGTGCTAGTTTTCCTTGTTAGGGGCTTTTGGGTTGTGATTGAATGTGACAAGATCAATTACCTTTGTGTATGACATTTTTTTTAACCAGGAAATCCCACAGGGCTAGTAGGTTCGAAACTCGGTGGATATTGGGCCCACCCCTCTATCCTTCTCCGCTTTGCCTAACCCACATAGCACGAGCTGTGCTCTTCCCACTAGACCAAATTAATCCCTGGGGCAATCCTTTGGCGTATGACATATTAAGTTTTAAGTTCTCGAAATCAGATTGGATAATGTAGACTCTGGAGTTTGTTGACTGTATGCTCTTTCTCTCAATGACCTAGAATTTGGTTAAAGTGTAATATCTATTATGATATCTGTTTCAAACCCGACTCATTTGTGATGAAATTTATTAGAAATATGTTACTGTAGTCTTCATTAGAGGGATTTCTCATAAAGCAAACTGTAATTCTCATATTTAATTCCCCAGCATCACTAATTACTCTATAAGATCTGCAACACCAATTGGCAAATATCTTTACTGCTCAGAAGACTGAGTGGGTTGGTGTAGCTAGCTAGCTGCTTCTTGCCTATTTAAATAATTTAGTTTTCTCATGCTAGAACAGACTACAGCGACACGAGTTGGTTTACTAGATTTTTTCCTTATGTTTGTCCATGTCTTCTGTCATAAGAAATAAGTTTGTTCTCTGCCTCTCGACACTAATTTGTTTCTACTATGAGCAAAACCTTGACTGTGTGTTGGTTTGGCAGTAATGGTGCAGCAGGAGTTGCATTTTGCGATGCTGGCACAGGATTTTCTGAAGATTATATTTCTAGCATACCAAGTGAATCGATAATTAACTTTCAGTATGACTCGTTAAAGCACAGTACCAAACAATACAACATTGAGTTAAAACCTTTATTCTCAGCATTTATGTGGAGGAATCTTGCACTGACTTCCTTGAGATCTTTCCTACTATTTTATTTACCTCTTCTGGAGCCCCGTGCTAACATGGAGGATGAGGATGATGAGGATTTCCTACAGGATACTGAGGAAGATCGCCGAGTCGATTTGGTGACTCCTTTCAAGAAATCAGTGAAACAGATTGGTCGTGAGGTAACCTTGCAGAACTGCTCCCCGACCCCTCATTTCTCCATGCTATGCTCTTGTCACTTAACCAACTGCCTAATTTTTTCTTCAATATCTTTTGTTGAAAGTGTTAAACGATACATCTCTAGTGATATTTCATTCGTCCAGTATTCACTTTGGTTTGCTTTGGTATTTTTATTTCCATGCTCTGGTCCTAGAACTTGTTGTAGCATGTATTTGCAGTATATAATGGCTAACTTGCTTAATTGAAGTTGCATCGTCTTGATTGGTCAAGAATATAGGCTGCCACAAGATGGCAGGATAAGTCCTAAGAAATTTTTACTTTCTTGTAATTATAGCGGATTCTTATATCCCTGCATCACTGGGAGATGAAAAAAATTCATCCAAAACTGGAGGTGCTTATTTTGTGGGGTCAATTTAAAAGTTTGTACTTGTATCTTGCCTTAAATATAATTGATTGATAGTTAGAATGACTGAGCAGTAATTTAACGGAAATTTATAATGCTTAGGCAAGTTTGAGTGTTGAGGCATCAGCTAACTTGTGACGTCTTGATCTATTTCACTTGAACCTAGAGGTTCACTCAACATCTTGTATAGCTAATAGCTTGTGTTCATTCGACGATCAGATGGTCTAGGTAAACAGTGTAGCAAAAACAAATAGTGGTTGAAAGTGTAAATGTGAACAGTTGAAGGTATTTTGTCTTATTCATTGAGAGCACTTTGTTTTTAGCTTTTTTTTTCGTATCGGTAAGCAAAAGATTTCATTACTATTAAATTGCCAAGCACTAAGATGGTGCTAGGCGTTATGGAACAGCTGTTTTGGATATTACTAGGTCTGACTGTTCTTTAAGCAACTGATAAACTCTTAACACTTTTTCACATCATTTACATCAGGCAAATACATCAGAATGCTGGTTTACATAAAACATTTATGTTTTAAGACATGTATTGATGATGCATTCCCTTCAAAACATTTCTGGTTCCTTCTCGAGATTGTCCAAAAAACACATGCTGGAATGGTTCTCCAGATTTCTTCAACTCTTTGTTCCTTTTAAAAAGTATCCAGCTTTTTAGTACTCCCTCTGTCCCAATTGATGTGTCATATTTTCCTTTTTAGTCTGTCCCGAAAAGAGTGTTATACTTCCTTATTTAGAAATAATTCAACTTTATATTTTCCCGTTTACCCTTGATGAGATGATTTACAGCCACACAAATATCTATGGCTTCTTTTGGACCACAAGTTTTAAAAGTCTCTCTTTCTTTGTTAATCTTTGTGCCCGGTCAAACACCGCCACATAAATTGGGACGGAGGGAGTAGCTTTTTTTTATAGTTGATGGCATCATCGAATTTATCCCAAAAATATACCAAAAGAGATTCCAAATCTGCCCAGTAACTGGGCAATGCAAAAATAATATCCTGCTTTCTTCCTCCTTTTCTACAAAGCTGCATTCCTCTCCTTTTCAAGTTGAGCTGTGTTTTTATTTAAGTTTAAACTATCAAAAAAGAGTAAGCGATGTTTCACTTTTTGTATGGACACTCCGTACCTTCATGTTTCTCCATGTCATAAGCACTCTTTTATCTTCAGATAGATTGACTGTTAGCAGCTGACGTAGTAGCCATATTAAATATCATCTCCATCAATTCCAGGAAGCGGAATGTTTTATCACATTATGCATTACATTTGCTTTTATAGTGGGTTGACTGGAGAAGGGAGTTTAGTATAGACTTGATTCCTTGTTGAGAATGGAGGAGTTCCTTGTTGAGTATATTATGGTCCCTTAACTGATTTCTTACATCTTACCTTTTCTTGGAATGATGTGTTTTTTGTATAACTTGCTTCCCATATTAGTAGTTTAAAGTGACCTAATGGTTTAGTTTTGTTGCCTTTAAACTCTCTCTAATTATGCTTCAAATCATGCACTAAATATTGTTTGCAATTAACATTATGTATCTTCTGGTCAGACTGCTGTTGTAACTACGAGACGTGTCCTGGAAAGATTAGCTGTCCACTATGTTTCTCAGCGCATGGCATGGAAGCTTCTAAAAGGTACTTTCTTTCTTGTCTGTAAGCTTAAATCTATAGTCCTTGTTCTGATCGGCATTGAAAGAAACCTAGCGTTTATCTATTTCTGCAGACGTTCCCAAGTCAGCTGCACGCAAGGCTCAAAGGGGAATGCCAAGTGTGACCTATTTTTGCAGTGTCACAAGAACAACTTCCAGAGGTTTAACATTATATGGCAATACTATTCTTCTCTTCTGGTTCACCTAGACTAGCCACAATTCTTGATTATTCACCTTCCCGCTATCTGATCAGGTCATTTTCTGGGAGTTTTGGCATCATGGTTTGTGCAAGTTGGCATTGATATCTGGCGATTTTTCAAATCTAAACAAGATGATGACATGCTTGACAGATCAGAAAAAGCTCAGCTTCTAGGAAGGAAGATTTACATTGCTACTGTCAGATGTGGTGCATCTCTTGTTTTTGCTTCTATAGGGGCAGGGATAGGAGCAATGATGTTCCGCCCGACAACTGGCCAGTGGATTGGTAAGTTAATAGTATGCTCTTCCGTACCTATAACAAACAGCATCTTTACAATATATCTAGTTAAACAAATCATGTTTTTTCAGGATGCGCAATTGGGGATGTGGCTGGCCCGGTCATAGTAGCTTTTTGCTTTGACAAAGTTCTTCACATAGAACTGTGATGACTCTCTTCCTGGTTATATATCAAGGTCATAATTGATATAGGGTAATGTGGTGGTTGAAGTTTTTTTTTTTTCACTCCTAATTAAGAAGTGCAATTTTGTGCTTTCCTTTTACTTGGTTCCTTTAGCTTTGGAATAATATTTGTCATAGATACAATAAGCAATCTATGACATTATGAGTTCTTTTATTTTGGATCTAGTTCATGTTTATCTGGTTCATAACATCCTTCTTATGGATAGTTGTAGTTGGTGTAGAAATGGCGTGGGATAGCCACTGTTTAAGCTGGTATTTACTTTTTATCCAGCATTTTTAATGCTTAGCAATAATAGCCACTAGTCTATTAAAATTAATATGAAAAGACTGTATTACCCTTTCTTCTATCTCTTTTCACAAACGGAAATGCAGTGTATTTATACTGTTTCATTTCCGCATCTAAGGTGCGCAATCGTGTATTCGGAACCTCACCTTCACCCATTGGTAAGGAAGGTCAACGATAGCACCAAATGGTACGAACTTCTATTAATGCTACTGTATGTTAAGTGTCTTTGGTTATAGTTCTTGTTGATAAGCTAAACAAGCATGAAGAACATAAGGGAACGATTACAAAAGCAAAAGGAGAATGGGGAGAGGTTCCAGATTTAAAAAAAAAATTAAGATATGACGTGAAAATAATAAAAAGAGTGATGAGTAAACAGGAAATGCAATTCCTTCCCATAAGTTAAGGACATGTAGTTTTGAAGTCCTAAAGTTAAATTCAAAAGTTAAGGACATGGTCCTGAACTTAGAGTTTCAAGTTCAAAAGTTAAGGAAATGTAGTCTTGAAGTCCTAAAGTTAAGTTCAATAATTAAGGACACAAGTTCAAAAGTTAAGGACAGGCGGTCCTTGACTTACAGTTACAAGTTCAAAAGTTAAGGACAGTCAGTCCTTGACTTACAGTTACAAGTTCAAAAGTTAAGGACAGTCAGTCCTTAACTTACAGTTACAAGTTCAAAAGTAATAGGTCCTTAACTTTGATTTCTAAGTTCAAAAGTTAAGGATAGACAGACCTTAACTTATAGTTACACGTTCAAAAGTTAAGGACAAGCAGTCCTTAACTTACAGTTACAAGTTCAAAAGTTAAGGATAATAGGTCCTTAACTTTGACTTACAAGTTCAAAAGTTAAGGACGCTTGGTCTTGAAGTTTGAGTTCCAAGTTCAAAAGTTAAGGACATGTAGTCCTGAAGTTAAGGACATGAGCAGAAGGGTATTTTCGTCCGGGCAGTTAAAGTTTATTAAAGCAGTGGCTAAAGACTAAAGACATTTTAAACGGTGGCTTAAAAGTAAATACATGTGTTATTAGTGGCCAACCGTGCCGGTCTGTCGAACCTATTAAAATCTGCACCAAGGGATGATATTGAGTAAATGCTCCATGTTGGTGTTGAAGAAATCATTATTTCTCCATTGGACTTGGTAATGTTCATTTGGAGGAATAGTTTTTTTTTTTTAAAAATGTTCTGATTCCTTATTTTACTTTACTACTATTAATAAGCCAGAACGAGAGCAGCCTCCGGTTAGAAAATGAGCTGCATCCGGTACAAAATCGGGTCAAGACGGTTATTATCGTAATTATTGTAAAATAAAATAATTGTATTGGTTGACTAAAAAAGTTACGACTGTTACCTTGAAAACTGATATCGTATTTGACAATTCTACCCTTTAGTTATGTCATTGTACATTTTCCCAATACAATCATTTCGCAAGGGACCCACTTTTGGCCTTTTTTGATGTAGAACTGTAGATTCTGTGGATGTCTCTTATCAGTCTTATATACTTAGCCATTTAAAATTTTAAACACGATAAATCCAGAGACTAGATAATCATATAATAGGTCTACGTCGAAAGGTAAAAAACGATAGGTCAAGTTTTTTCTCATCTTTTTCCATTGCAAATTTTTAAGAGTGAAATATTTTACGTAAAAATAAACAAAATTATGAAACATAAGCACTTAAAAGAGCAAATAGGATATATTTTCCAAATGTATGATTTACTGTACAAATATTAATTTGAGAGTGTTTTGGGATAGATATATACCAGCTTAACATTGTCTAAGCATTCTTTTTCTTAATTTTCTATTGGATATAAAAATAAGAACAAACAGAATATTAACTATTATAAACAAGTAACTAAATGATTCTACACTGTAAATTATTTACGTAAGGCTCATCCTTAAATATTACTATGTCATCTCAAACCCAAAACGTTGAGTTATTTTTATTAATTATTAATTAAGACGTTTTCATTTATAAAAAATTTTGCTCTGACTTATTTTAGATATAACGATAACGTACTTAGTGTGTACCCACAAATGGAATATGAGAAGATGGTATGTACACAAACCTTACTCCTATCTTGTATAAGGTAGGGAGGATGTTTTTGATAGACTCTTAACTAAAGAAAAGCATTTTCAAAACAAGTTAAAATACAGGAGTAAAAAGTTATGATAAAGTAAATTATTTAATGAAAAATATCATATTCGTCATGACATTATTTACTAAAGCAAGAGAGGGAAAGATTTTTTTTTTAAAAAAGAATACGAAGAATAGAGGAAAAAAACTATATAAATTATAAAGATCGTTGGCTGAGCCGGTGCTAGATAAGAAGGGAAAATAACTTTCCTTTCGTAAGCCAATTATCTCTTTCTTAAATATTAGAAAGATTTCTCATGGAAAAAAGTACACTAGAAAATTTGAATCACAATGTGCTTTACATTCGTAACCAAAATGCTAATTCTTTTATCACATTCGTAACCAAAATGCTAATTCTTTTATCGACAATGTTTTACACATAAAATTTGCGGTTAGTAATTGGCATTACGTAAATTGAAGAATTTAAACGGTTTATTATTTAGAAACAAAATGAGAAAATATTTAATAATTTTTTATTTTTGAAATAGTAACACTCGACTGTACGCATATTAACACCATCAACAATGGAGAAAATGATAGCGTTAAGTTATTTTATTACTTTCAATTATTTTAAAATTTTGCTTAGAACCAGGACCAAAAAAATATTGGTCATATACGCTACATAATTTTTTTTTTGAATTGTGTTAGTATTTTCACTTTTTCTTTTGATTTTTATTAAATTGAAGTACATTAATAATCGAAATTTACAATTACTCAAATAGTCTCTAATTTAAAACTACAAATTCAAATAATATTTAATTAAATATTTAAATTGTCGCCAACTACTTAATGATTAAATTACTATAATAAACAATGTATGTCAAATAAAGTATATTTAAAAGGTTTTTGAATGGTACGCCGTTGGGTCCGGGCTTAGCCCGGGCATAACTTCACTAGTCTTTTTAGATAGCAAAAGAATTTGCATAATATTGTGTAACTCTGTCCATCAAAGTTTAGACAGTTGAGAAGAGAACACCTAACATCTTTTTGTCTCTGTTGGATTTTTGAACTCTGAATGTCATAATTTTCATCCACTACATTAATTGCAAGGTCACACCATTCATGATAATCTGTCCTACTGCTCATGTAATTGTTCGGTATCTTTTCCTTTTGCATTTTTTCTTGCTAGTTTCCTGGTCTCATTTTTGCTAATCTTAGCAGTCCTTGCAAAATTATATGAACTTGGCTGATGCAAGCAATTGGTATTACAATTTTCCTTCAAAATACTATTTATTTGGGCAATTCTAATTTCTATATATACTATCAAACAAGAAAAGACCAATTGAACTCTTCCCACAAAGGTAAATAAGAAGTTAAAAGGTTATAGAAGTAAAATTAGGGCGTAGTAAATTTGTGACAAAAGGACAACCTTTCTTGTGACAACCTAGTTCAACTACAAGTGACGTAAATTGTTACTATATAATATTTTAATTTAATCATCTGACAAGAATGACTAATTTAGCATTATCTTCTTCATTAAATCCCCTTAGAATCAAATCAAATAAGCTTACAAATTTAGTTGTTTTGCTTGGTAAGTAGGGAAGGAAACAAGAAAGGAAGATAGAACTCTCCTTTGACTAGTAGCTCAACATGAAATTTTCCATTAAATTAAAACTTAAATTTGAATGTCCAGTAAATATGAAACACCAAATTGAACTTTTATTTATAATCAAAAGAACAAGTCAACAATTAAAAAAAAAAACTATGTACTAAATTGAACCTCATTAATAATTTGAATTGTTTAAACTAAAATTTTAATTATATATTATGTTGCCTATAAAGTATGGCCTAGTCTACATTATTATAAAAACTTAATTACATTGAGTAAGAAGTGCAAAGTGCAAACTAACAAACTTAATTTATAATATTCAAGTTAAATATTAATTTCCAAATACATAAATGAACTTTTTTAATGTTAGGAGATCAATCAGACCAATTCATCCGAGCCGAGCTAGCTCGACTAGTCCCATGACTCCCATCTTTAATTGAGTCTATTTTGACTAAACTTCAACTAGTCCAAAGTGAAACGAGCTGTTTTGATTGAAATCAAACTAAGCTATGCTATTTCTAAACAACCTAACTCAGTTAAAATACGAATAAGTCAGAAGCAAACTTTATTTTCTTAATATTTTTTTTATCTTTTCAATGTTTATAAACTAAAAAAATGAATAGAGAAGTATGTTTTTTGTCTTTCTCTCCATTGTGTGCTTTAGGCGAATACAACAACAACCACAACAACAACAAAAAAATCCAGCAATTTCCTACAAGTAGGGTTTGGGGAGGATAAGATGTACGCAATCTTACCCCTACCCCGGAAGGGCAGAGAGACTGTTTCTGATAGACCCTCAGCTGGAGAACGGATGAAAAAAGTAATGGCAACAAATAGGAATAACAACAAGATAAAAACAAGACCGAAGCCAAGAAAACAGTTAAACTCTAGGTAGTAATATCAATCAATGAATAAAAGTATATCATACTAACACTAATGCTAGCAAACTAAGACAAAGAGAAACATTCGATTACATACTAGCCTTCTACCCTAATCTTCGACCTCCACGCCCTCCTATCTAGAGCCATGTCCTCAATCAGCTCTAGATGCGTCATGTCTCTCTTGATCATCACCTTTCCCCAAGACTTCTTAGGTCTACCTTTACCCCTCCTGATACCCACTAAGGCTAACCTTCTCGCACCTTCTAACTGGGGCTTATATGCTTCTTCACCTTAACATCCTCATCTCAGCTACTTTCATCTTCTGAATATGAGAGTTCTTGACAGGCCAACACTCTACTTCGTACAACATAGTCGGTTTAACTACTACCTTGTAGAACTTACCTTTAAGTCTCAGTGGCACATTCTTATCACACAAGACACTGAAAGCGAGCCTCCACTTCATCCATCCTGCTTCGATACGGTGCGTGACATCCTCATCAATCTCCCTGTTACCTTGTATTATAAATCCAAGGTACTTGAAACTCTCCCCCCCCCCCC